CCATGTAGCTGAGGTATATCTAGGTCTGAAGTTGGCCCGAGGGTAACGTAAGCAAGGGATTCAGAGTATCAAATGTTTTCGATCACACTTGTACGTACCACGGAGTATTCGTCGACCTCGCCTTGGACGATCTAGAAGCCTTTGCGGTCGCCAGAGTACTTCTCGTCCTGGTCGGCGTCGGCCTTGTGGTCGTAACGCTGACGCTTGTGGGTTTCGGTCATGCCCTTGCCAGAGCCCGTAAAGCCGACTGTGAGGGTTAGCGATGAGACACGGGAAGATTGCTAGATTTACTCACCTCGACTGCCAGCCTCGGTACTGGTACGGAACATGGACTCCTTCTTGACAACGCCCTTCTTCTTGCCTTTGTTCTGGAAGTCGGCCCAGTTTGACTGCCTCTTCTTGAGGATGCCCTTGTTGGCGATGCGACTAGCCTTCCGCTCTTCTCCGTCCTGGGCAGCTCCGGCGCTCTTGGCAGCCTGCGCACTCGGGTTCATGCTAGCAGCTCCGGAGATGACGTGGGCACTCGAGACAACGGGCGCAGACGGGGTTGCGGCGAACGCAGGCTCGGCGTCGCGCTTGCGCTTGTTCGGCAGAGGGCGTACGGCGGAGCCATCGACGGTCAGGGTGTCGTCGTACTCGATGAAACGAACAAGGTACTTGGGGGCTGAGGCGGCGCCGAGTTTACTCTGGATCTTGGCTTTGTACCAGGACCTGTCAGTCCACTGCGCCTCGCAGATGTCGCCAATGTTCAATACGATGGTCTTCTCGGGCTCTTGCTTCTCCATGGTCTTGCGCAGGACTGGGTGCTTCTCAATATCGAACTTGGGACCGGCAGGTTCAGCGGCGTCCTCAGGAAGCTGGGCCTCGAGAGCGGCGAGGTCGGATCGCAGGACCTCGAGTTTGGTGTCGTGCTCGGCGACACGACCCACGATTTCCGCACGCATGGCTCCTGTTTCTTCAGTCTCTCCGACCGTCGCGATCAACGTCTCCATCTCCCGAAGCTATACAATGTCAGTTGGGTCAATGCGATAGCTCCGTGGTGCGCAGCTCACCTGGCCTGCCCATTCTGCACGTCCTTGCTCTTCTACGGCGATTGCCTGCTTCTTGGCGTTGATGGCGCTCTTGATCTGCTTGGTGTTGTCCGCCATGTTGCAGTCGCTGGTTGACTTGTGGTTGCGATGTTGTGGTGGGTTGGATTGTTCACAGTCGCGTACAAGTAAGGATGTCGCGACCAGCAGTGACGCCCGGCAGGCAGCCGCTGGGCTTGGCGCCGCCCCACACAGCCTAGACCCTTTTTTTCTCCGCGCTTCAGCCCTATAAGTGAGACAAGCGTGCGTGAATGTCGAATGGCACCGGGGCCGTCACCACCGTCACCCAAACTCACTGCTCACGTCACCTAACGTCTGCAGATGCAGCCATCACTTCTGCATTCGATACTTCCTGCCGCATCTTCATGCTTGGCACTAGTCTACGCTGCTTCACCGACGTTAATGACAGATAGTATCCATGATCAACTATGGCCGAGTCGCAGGGACCACGCAAGTACACAGCGAGATGATTAGTATTCTTCTTTCCAGAAAAGCGCCGTCTTCGGAAGTAGACTGCGAGAGACGCACTGGCAGCTCTTATTCAGCATGACGCATGACGCCAATGAGTGTAGTGGCAGCGAAAACCCCAATTCTGTTATAACCAGCCAGTCTCCTTCCAGCAGACAGCACTCGAGAATCTGGCGAGACTCACATCTGCTGCAGGACCAGGCACCGGACGCGGTGATCAGCGTCCGGTGTGGTGGTCTTCGATGGCGTTCTCCCTACCCCACCAAGCTTTGTGCTTATCAATCAGACCAGGAAGCGCATGCTGAGCCTGCCGTCTGCTGCGCCCTTCTCTGACGCCGTGCTTCTGCGAGAACAGTCACACTCTCGGCCCCAACCTATCACTGACGCTGATCATCCGTTCACCTGTTGTCGGCCGCTTTTTGACAGGCTTAACGGCGTTGCTCCGAAAAGTCGCCCGAACCAACCAGCTAGGGTACCCAGGTGCCGCATTGGATCTGGCTTCCAGGCTGTGAGGCTGCGAATTGACTTCTTGCACCATTGCTCCTTCACCATCTGACCACCTTTCGCTCAAACTGCCCATTTCTTGACAAAAGACTTCGCATACCCCTCTGCAGCCGTCGTCAAGTGCGCTGCACTCACAGAGCGCTCTGCCCTCTGCACAAGCCCTCCCATACCCGCGAAACCTTCGTCGGCTTACTGGCCCGCCTCCGCCCGCTGAACGAGCTACCCAGATCAACCCCAAACATCTTGCGTCATTCATACCACCTCTCAGAACCCCAACGCGCCCGCTCCTCCACATTTTGCGGTGTCCGGGTGGCGAAAACGGTTATCGCACGTGGTTGACCGATAGCCAGCCCCTCCGAACTTCCGCTACGCTGCGCAGGTGCGGTAAGCAACCCGCAAGCTCTCCTCGGAGCTATACACAACACCAACCACCCTCTACCTCGCGATTGTAGTTGCAATGGCTGGAACTACCAACGATTTCCAGAATGGCGCGCCCTTCTACCTGGATGCGACGCAGCAGGATCTCCTCCTCGCGGCCCTGGCCTCGAACAACCAGAACCCTAACGACATCTTTTCCGCTGGCCTAGACAGCGGCTCCAACAACAAGCAGTCCATGAACAACTCCCAATTCCAGTATCCTCTCGACAGCCTCGATCCCGCATACTTCACGTCGCCTCAACAACAAACACCCGCGAACGGCTTCAACGGGGGAGGTATGGAAGAGAGTCCCTTTGTCGACTACCTAGATGGCGATAATGGCTTCGATTTCGACAACGCAGACGGCGACATGATTGGCTCACTACCTGGGGATACTCCCGGCGATTCGAGCGAAAAGCGGAAGAGTCCGGACGACGGTGACGATGACGATGACGAGGGCGGCGGCAAGCGCAGGGAAGGTGAAGACAAGCAAGCCAAGAAGCCAGGTCGCAAGCCATTGACTTCGGAGCCCACGACTGTAGGTTTCATGGAGCATGCTCACCTTAGCCCAACTGACAGCAGGCATAGAAGCGGAAAGCCCAGAATCGCGCGGCCCAACGAGCGTTCCGAGAACGCAAAGAAAAGCATCTGAAAGACCTCGAGACCAAAGTACAGGAACTTGAGAAGGCTTCCGATGCCACGAACCACGAGAACGGTCTCTTGCGAGCACAAGTGCAACGGCTGCAAACGGAACTTCGCGAGTACCGAAAGCGACTATCGCTTAACAGCACCGGAGTGTCTCGAACTCCCGCTCTTGCTGGAGGCTTCAGCTCTATGCTGAACAACAATAGTAACAACAACAACTTCTCCTTCGAGTTCCCACGTTTCGGCGGACTTCCTGGCGCCCAGCTACTAGACAACGGTCCCTTAGCAAAGAACAAGAACACATCGGTTTCGTCGAACGCATCTGGTCGCCAAAACAGCACCGGACGCGCCCTTAGCCCGACCAGCAGGGCCAACGGCTCGCTCACAGATTCCCCTGGCGCCATGGGCCCGGACAGTGCGCAGCGCTCCGGCAGTCTCAACGGCTTCTTCGGATTCGACAACAACAATAAAACGAACAACGAACCCTCCCGCAGTAACACGGAGAACTCCACTCGTTCGCAATCGCGTGTCTTCCAGTTCAACAGTGGCTCATCAAGCCATTCAGACTCACCGTCCAACTCATCCACATCGCCTACCAATCAAGACTCCTCCTGCGGGACATCACCAGAGCCAAGTCATACCTCGCCCAATCAGCAGTTGGACACAATCAAGGACGGTTATGTGTGTCATGGAAACTCCGAAGGTGAGGTTCTCTTCTGCGAAAAGCTCAACATGGCCTGCGGCAACCCTCGTAATCCCATGCCTCGTGCGATGTCCCAATCTGACGACAAACCTTCTCCTGCAGTCTTAGCCGCCAAATCACCCACTCCCGCCGTCAACGGCATCGATTACTTCGCGAACCAAAACGGCGGCCAATTCGACCCGACACTCTTTGGAGAGTACCGCGATACCCAGAATGCGATTGTGGGCGACGGCGACTTCACTGGTGGCTTCTTTAACGATGCTTTCCTCAACACTGGCTACGGTAGCCCCTTCCACTTCGGCGACACACCTGCTGTGCAGAAGACGAATCCTCTTGAAGAAATTGAGCGTATACAAGATGGTGAGGACGAGGTAGTCCCCGGCGAGGATGTCAACTCGCTGCTTAACTGCCACAAGATATGGTCAGTACAGCCCTGTAATCACATGAGAACTGGTACGCTAACACCGCACAGGGACAAGCTCTCAAGTCGCCCAGACTTCAAGGACGGCACGATCGACATCGACAATCTCTGCTCAGAGCTCCGCGCTAAAGCACGCTGTTCTGAGAGCGGCGTGGTCGTTGATCACAAGGACGTTGAGGCAGCCCTCAAGCGTCTCCCCAAGGACAAACTTCTCGGATAAATATGGCGCACACCCTGCATGTGGATGACGGTTAAGGCGTACATGTTTGGCTTCTTTTGGGTCCCATTTATTTTCTCATGTTGGCACGGCCAGTCACTCGTTGAGCATGCACTTAGCAACCTTGCAACGATATCATGATACTTGGAAGGGTGGGCATATCGGCGTTTGAAATGGCGAAACGACGAAAATGGTTAACGGCTGTGGAATACACTGTTCGTGTGCAAGTCGTAGGGTCGATCATTGGATGGTGCTTCGGTCACAACCCCAGCTTCCTTTATAGCCTTGTATTCAATGAAGTACATTTTTATCATATTCCTATCGGTTGGCTATTCCAGTGTATACTAAGCATCAACGCATCCCTCGTAAGTCAGATGCCACAACCACGCCGTACACATGCATGATTCCTATGTGTCTTTTAGGCTACCACCTTGGCATGATGTCGGCCACCATTTGCATACACCTAGTCTGGAAAAGGAGCCCCTCTCATACCTAACACAGACAGCCCTAATACCTCTACTCAACACCACGACCACCATGGACCTACCCCGCGACCTCGCCGACCTAATCAAAAACAACGATGCCGCCGGCCTAGTCGCTAAATCCACCAAACGAGGTCGTCCTCGAAAGGGGACCAAGGCCGTCACTCAGAGAGACAAAGACAACTGTCTCGCACAGGCGATGCCAGAGGCTGATTTAGATGTTATCGAAGTGCTGATCCGACACGGTGCGAAGTTGACGCAAAGTTCTTTCCGCAAGGCGATCTATAGGGGGAATGAGGATACGGCGGTTTTGGAGCTCATGTGGAAGTGGGGGTGGAGGGTCGATGGGAAGGGGCTGTGGTATGGTGATAGCGCTGCTGGGTATGTTGTTTGCATTCCTTAGTCTGTCACCAGAGCTCACGGCAACTGACATGCATGTAGAGCGGCTGTGTGTTACGAGAATAGCTTACGCTGGATACTGCAACATGGCGCAGAGCTGAACGTAGTTTCGAACCCGAGACTCGTTGGCTCCTGCGCTGATTGTGTGACGCCGTTTTCAGAAGCGGCGTTGGATGGTCACATCTCATCTATGGAGATTCTGCTCGAGTTCGGTGCTGAGCTGGATCCGTTGGCGGTGTTTTATGCCATTCGATGGCGAAGACGGACGAAAGAGACGTTGAGGTTTCTGGTGGAGAAAGGTGCGGATGTGAATGCTTTGGCAAGGAAATGGGGTACCCCGCTGTTTTATGCTGTTCACTGGTACAACAGAGACGCGGTGGAAGTCTTGTTGGAATGCGGGGCAGATCCAGATGTGGTTTGGATTGGGGGGACAGCTGCGGAGAGTGCTAGGAGGTACGAGCGCGTTGAGTTGGCGGAGATGCTGGAGGCGAAGATGAAGAGGAGGAGTAGGAGGACTAGGGGAGTTGGGATAAGATCTGTTGAAGGTTTACGGGTACCTGGTCATCGTCTGGGGACTGGTTATTGGGCGCGACTACGTGCATCTGAGCAGCGAACTACTGCTATATGAGTCGTTGAATGTCTCATCTGCTGCCTGTATCATGGCTGAGAGGGTATGACGCAACTCTTGGCTGCGCAGCCATACCGTGCCGCAATCGCCTGGGTGCATACAAGTATAATGCAGTGCCCTGATATGGCTCACCTCGCCATAAGCGCAGATCCAATATGAGGCTCCCCAGCGACGATAGATACAACCGTCTACCCTGCGATATTAAGGATGCTACAAAATCCAACGACACCAAAAAGCTCCGAAAGTGGCTCAGACAGTGGCCCGACCCCGAATATGAAGCCAAACAAGACTGCCTCGAGCTAGCTATCCGCGAAGGTTCCATAGAAACGATCAAAACGCTGCTTTCCCACGGCGCCACACTCACATACATTGCCTTTCTCAAAGCGATTCACCGAGAAGAGCCTGCAGTATTCCAACAACTCCTCGACCACGGATGGGATATCGATTCGACGGAATTCGGCAGGCCTGCTGTAACGTCCGTATCCTTCTTCACCATTCTCATCTTGTGCATGTGGTGTACTGACGCAAAGCAGACACGCCCTCCGACGCGAAATTCTGTTGCGCTGGTTTCTGGATCACGGTGCCAATCCGAACACCAAGGCTGAAAGACGAGGTGGCTCCGTCTCACAACCTTGCACACCACTTCAATCAGCCGCTACGCTTGACGATGATGCGCCGCTCAAAATGCTTCTAGCTTACGGCGCTGAGATGGATCCGCTGGCCCTGTTCCATGCCATCGGGTCGAGGAGGTCGCGGAATGGCATGGCTACAACTATTGCATTGGTGGAGCACGGTGCAGACGTAAATCATATGGCGCGGCGCTGGGCGACACCACTTCATCGTGCTGTTAGTGCGAACGCGAAGGAAAAAGTGGTGTATCTGTTGGAGAATGGTGCCGATCCAAGGGTACATGCTACAGTGAGTAAGAGTAAGCCAGTGGATTGGGCGAAGCAGAATGGGAAAGCGGAATTGGTGAAGATATTGGAGGAGGCGGAGGCTAGGCAGGAGGATTAGAGGAACGCATGACAATCGCTGGGAGCTGAAGGTAATGACGAGTTATTAATTGTACTTCAACAGTAGGATTGGTCACAAGGCTTTCCCATACTAAATCATCATGCCCAGGGGTATATGGAAAGAAGGATGCAAGTGGCCTTTACGAACCACCCAGCCCTGATGCACCCAATCCATATTTTCGGTCTTGCTACATCGTCTCGCAATTCAAGACACTGGTCTTATCCACGTTCCGCTCATTCAAAAGGTCTCATAAGCTCATTGCCTGCCACAGACTCGGCAAAGTTCTCCAACGCCGTAGTATGGCACCAAGGCTTCAATCTAATCTCCTTCAGAATGGTGCTCGAGAAACATCCCGACCAGCCCATCCGAGGCAGTTGCGCCGTCACCGATTCGATGACTTCCCGGCCTACAAGATGCGGTTGTAGTCCCATGTTATCTAAATAATGTCAGTCAGTCGACTATCCAGAATACTATCAGCACAAGCATGACTTACCAAACTCAGTAGCAATCTGAATCATCTGCACCATTGCACTGACCGTGCCTGTCTCACCGGGATCCTGGTGGCGGATGATGGCCTCTGCAACGCTCTCGGCTTGGATTTTGGGAGCGCCGAACTCCTGCAACTTTGTCAAAGCCAGGAGGCCGCCTTGGAACTCAAAGGACATGTGCGTGTTGGACATGTTCTCGTCGGTCGTGCCGATGTCGTGGAATAGGCAGGTTAGTGCCCAGGTTTCGAAGAAGTCCTTAGAATGGTATTCCGGGAAGTAGTGTTGGATGATGTAGGTACCTGCCATGCAATTTTAGTCGACCTGAGGAGTTTATAGTTGTTTCCATCATCGTGGTGATGGGGAGCATTGGTGTCGGGTAGTACGTACCGTAGCAGAATACTCTCATGCTGTGATTGTAGGTCTCCTTGGTTAAATGCTCCTGGGCATACTTGCGCGCCTTGTCTGTCACTTCGGTTACGGGCCAGGCGTCCATGGGGTCTGAGTAAGAATCATTGTTCATCCCAGCAACCTCTTCGGCAGATGGGACGTTGGAACGGTTCCTTGGGACGGCGATCCAGCCAAAGTTCTCTGGTGTCCATATTCCGTGAGACATGTTGGATGCTTCGAATAGAGTAGTGCTCTTGAGAAAAGTTGCAAGTGAGAAGAGCGGATTGGGTTTGAAGTTTGAAGTTGTGATGGCGCGACTTTAAGTACACTTGCTGTATGTAGATGCGCCTTTCGTCCTAGATAGGTTAGACTTGACAAGAGCTCATCCAGGCGAAGTCTGTCGGGTAAGCGCGACACACGTGCGCATTAGCGAATGACCTTCAGCTTTACATGCTGACGTTGTTTGACAAATTTTCGTCATTATGGAATTCGTTTTGCCATTAGCAATTATTGCATCATGTACGTCATATTCATCTCCGACGACGGTGACGATCGATGATTAGAAGATCGAGTACGCCTGGCTGTGTGAGCAGAGGACGTGCCGAATAAAGTCAAAAATTGATACGCTTGGACCTATCGTCAAGCTGATAGACTTGACGAAAGAATAGCAAGCCATCGTTGGATAACTCCAAGATGAAATGAAGCATGGACATGATGGGTCGTTGGATCATTCTATCGATAAGGGATGACTAAGAAATGAAGATGGCCGAGGCCGCAGATCCAAAGTTTTGGTGACATCAACGTGCACCGCGTCTCACAGGCACGAACAAGCTTCAATTGTCGTTATGAAGCCACAATTCATAGCCAGAGCAGTGCGCTCGATACAGAGAGGATTACCACAAACCTCATCATGTCGAACAGCAACCAAACAATCCCCATTCCGAATACCTCCAGCAAGCTCACGATGCATATCGACCACCGCCCCCAAACACCACAACCCAACACCCAAGTCCACCTCCACCGTCGACCCAACAGAAGTATCGCACTTCAACGCGCTCGCATCATCATGGTGGGACCCCCACGGCCCCTCCCGCCTCCTCCACCTCATGAACCCGCTCCGCCACGACTTCATAACTTCATGCCGCTCTTCGACAACCCCACTAAACCCGTCTGAGAAACTACGATATCTAGACATTGGCTGCGGCGGCGGCATCTTCGCCGAATCAGCCGCGCGCCTACCGACCACTACCTCCGTCACAGCAATCGACCCCACGCCTCAAGTCCTCTCCATTGCTGAGGCGCACAAGCGACGCGATCCTACACTTACCTCGCCGGGTAAACTTACATACTTGAATACGTCTATCGAGGACCTACCGCGTCCGAATTCAGACACAGAAGCCTTCGACATCGTCACCCTGTTCGAAGTAATCGAGCACGTAAACGCCCCAGGCCCGTTTCTCGAACACGTCCTCCCGCACGTGAAGCCGGGTGGCTGGTTGATAACGAGTACGATTGCGCGGACGTGGACGAGTTGGGTTGTTACGAACGTGGTTGCAGAGGATGTTTTGGGTATTGTGCCCAAGGGAACGCATGAGTGGAGTAAATACGTCAACGAAGAGGAGTTGAGGAGTTGGTTTGCGAAACAACCTGGTTGGGGCAATGTCAAGTGCATGGGTGTTGTGTATGTGCCGGGTTTGGGGTGGAAGGAGGTTGCCGGGAGTCAGGATTGGGGGAATTATTTCTTCGGTGTTAGGAGGGAGGGCTGAGGAGGGGATGAAGAGGGGTGTGGTGATATGATGTGATGTGTAAGTGACATGGTCAGATGGGAGCATATGATACCCAAGTAATGTACAGTATATACAACATCATAGCCGCCTGGCTTTACGTACGCTATGCTTCCTCGAAGTTTTCATACACGGCGCTGTAGCAACGTTATGCGAAGCGCTCCGCTACGTCTGTGTTTGTCGCTATGTTGCGCATGCACTCGGTCTTCCCCATAGCATCGTGTTGTGTTCCAACGCTTCCTCGTATCATTTCCCTCTCAGGATTGAATCCGAGATATCGCAATCGCTCTTGTCCCTTCTCAGCCGTCTTCATGACTTCGTTGCAGGTCTCTCCTCGAATGGTGTCGGTATATTCCTGCCTGTGGCTACCGCTTCACTCCCTGTCTCCACGAGATCATGTCCACCAGCCAGCTTCCACGCCCTCAGGTAGTCTTCGCCGGTGAATCGCTTTTCGTAGTTCTCTGCCTTGCCGACGTCGAGTCCTCGCACCTTTTCCAGACTGGAGTCTACGAAGGGTGTCAACTATGCAGATGTTAGCATTACATCTCTACAATGTCTTCCCAGCTGTCGCAACCCGAACAAATCATTGTACGCACCTCGATGTTATGTGTGCCGTTAAGTGGGTACACATATGTCCGTATCTTGCTCCAGTCGGGTGTGAAGTTTCCGTATCGGTTGATTGTGCCCATGGATCCCACGCGGTTTCCCTTGTAGTATTCCTTGCCGGCTTGTTTGGGTGAAAGCGGCAGGCGCCGCAGCATCTTCTGGAGAGAGGCCGTGGGTTTCATGGCGGCGGTTTAGCTGGACCCTGCCGTTGTAGCGAGCGATGCGACGATGTCGATGATGGCCGCCATCAATCTTCGAGGCGTTTGCGGAGTTTGGAGCGGAGGTGGGCGTGGCCCGTGCGTCAAAAAAGTGCAAACCCAGAAGTTCTGTGTGTCGCTCCGCCGCCTTGCCTCTCAACCACAACGCCAAAATGCCGCCCCGAGTAGCACGCAGCTCGATCCAAAGCGGTGGCGCTTCAAGCAAAGGCAACGCAAAGTTGCGAAACCCCAAGAAAGCGCAGAAGCGCGCCCTCGACGCCTTCTCCATCGCCCAGTACGAGAATCCAGACGATGCGAAAGTGCGCAAGAACCGCCTAGGCGAATTCGACCCCGCCTTCAACCGCAAACGTGCGCGTGATGACGACGAAGAGGACGACGAGGATGAGGACGAGGACGACGGGCCCAAAAGGCGCAAGAAGAAGTCTGGTGACGAGAGCTACGACGAAGGAAGCGACTCCGAGGGCAACACCTGGCAGATGGGCCACGTTGAAGACGACGACGATGACGAGAGCATCGACTCGGACGAGGCTTTCGGTGAGAGCGACGAGGAACGCTTCGAGGGCTACACGTTCAGAGGCAGTTCCAAGAACCACAAGGGAAAGGCAAAGAAGTCGAAACGAGAGCAAGACATGATGGACGAAGATGGCGACATTGATCTCGACGAGGGCGACAGTGCAGATGGTGAGGAGGAAGATGAAGACGATCTTGGCGAAGATGCTATCGATCTAGCTACTGCCTTGGATCAATACGAGGAGGATGAGGCTGAGGAGCGAAGGGAGAAAGAGAAGAAGAAGAAGGCCTCTGCATTCGACGACAGCGACTCTGAACCAAGCGAAGGCGAGGACCCCGCAGCAGATGGCGCATCCGACCTCTCGTCTGACGAAGAAGATGAGGATGACCGCCAGGCGCAATTGCAGAACTTGATCTCTTCGTTGGCTTCGCGAGAAGACGACAAACCCAAGGGCAGGAGAGTGGACGTCCATGAGTCAGCTGCACCAGACGAGTTTGGTGTCTCCCGCAAAGTCGACCTCCTAAGCTTCAAGCCCAAGGTCGCCGACGCGGAGAAAAAGAAGGCACTCAAGCTGCTGCAAGACGACAAATCCTCGAAACGAAACGACATTGCTAGGAAACTAGACGCGCCTTTACCAAAGCGACAGCAAGACAAGCTCGACCGCGCCGCGGCCAACGCCAAAGCGAACGAGACTCTTGAGAGGTGGACCGACACTATCAAGCAAAACCGCCGCGCCGAACATTTGATGTTCCCTCTCCAGAACCCTTCCGGAGGCGACATGGGAGAGAAGACACTCCTTCCCACAACGACCGCCGCACCTACGAACGATCTCGAAAGTACAATTCAGTCCATCCTCCAGCAGAGCGGGCTGTCAAACGGCAAGGAAGACGAGGAAAAGATACAGAAGTGGGAAGAGCTCCAAACAAACAAACTTCCAGTCGAGGAGGTCCTCAGGCGACGTGCAGAACTGCGAATGCAACGAGAGCTACTGTTCCGTGAAGAGGTTCGCGCCAAGCGCATCAAGAAGATCAAGAGCAAGTCTTATCGGCGAGTGCACCGCAGGGAGCGCGAGAAGCTGCTGGAGAAGGAACGTGAGCAGCTCAAGGCCGATGGCGTTGATCTGTCCGAGGAAGAGCGTGAATACAATGATCGCCGGAGAGCTGAGGAACGCATGGGGGCTAAGCATCGCGAGAGCAAGTGGGCTAAGGGCATCAAGGCTACTGGAAGAGCGAACTGGGATCAAGATGCGCTGGATGGTGTGACTGAGATGGCCAGACGGAACGAGGAGCTTCGTCGTCGCGTTGAGGGCAAGACCGTGCGCGATGACGATGAGGAAGCATCTGATGTGCCAAGCGAGGAGGAAGAGAGCGACGATGACGACGACCAATCGGACAACGACGCACTACAACAATCTCTCGGCAAGCTCAAGTCGAACCCCTTCTCGACTAAGGAGTCTAAGCTGGGTCAGATGGCCTTTATGCAGAAGTCCGAGGCTGCGAAACGCGCACAGAACGACGAAGCTGTTGAAGCCCTAAGACGCGAGCTTGCAGGTGAAGACAGTGACAATGCCGAAATCGATGAGAACGCCACCAAGGCAGGACGGAGAAGATACGGTCCCAACGCCGACGTGTCAGCTCCGGCTATACAGATTAACCGCAGCGAGTTCGAGGAGCACGAAGACTCCGACGCAGAGAACGAAGCCAACCCGGATGCGGAAGGCAAAGAGTCTGTCGCGGACACAGCATCATCTAGGAAACCTGCCAAACAGAACGGCTTGAGTGGTCTCTCGAATGGTGCCCGCAAAGAGCGCAAGGCTGCCGCACCTGTAGAGAACGGCAGCGGAGAGTCCAACCCTTTCTTGACCAAGGCGAAGAAGGAGAAGAAGACCACAACCGAGCCTGAGCTCTTCCCAGCCACAAGTAGCACGACCATCACTACGCAAGCTAAGGCCGTCGCTCCTAAGCTTACGCCCAAAGCCAAGCCTCAAAAGAAGTCAAAGCAAGCGACCAAACCTCAAGAAACCAAGGTAGACGACTTCTTGAAGCAACGCGTTACAACGGCCGATGACGATGGTTGGGCGACTGTCATTGGTGGTCAAGAAGATGAGGACATGGACGAGCAAGGCATCGAAGACGAGGGTATCGATCTTGACGTCGTCATGCGCAACCAAGCTCTCACAGCAAAGGGTTTCGCCGGCGACGACGTTGAAGCCGACTTCGACGCCGAAAAGAAAGCCACCATCGCAGATGAAGAAGCAACCGAAGAAGTTTCTATCCTCCCTGGCTGGGGCTCCTGGACCGGTGACGGCATGTCCAAGGCCGAGAAGAAGCGTAACCTCGGCGCTAAAACAGTAACCAAGAAACCTGGTATCGATGCCGATAGACGGAAGGACAGGAAAATGGACAAGGTCATCATCAATGAGAAGAGGCAGAAGCCTAACGTCAAGTATATGGCTAGCCAGCTACCGTTCCCGTTCGAGAACAGGGAACAGTATGAGAGGAGTTTGCGCGTGCCGAAGGGCAAGGAGTGGGTTACTAAGAAGACGCACCAAGACGTTACGAGGCCGAGGGTTATTGTTAAACAGGGTGTTATTGCGCCGCTGCGGAAACCGCTGGTATAGGCGGACGGTAGCAGGCAAAGATTCGCTTGTCTTGCAATGGAAGCGGATCAATTTTCCAATCTTACTTGTGTGTCTCGTGCTGGCAGTCACCTCTGCAAGCCACGTGGAAAAGCTCCTCCTTCCACTTACACCGTGACTTCCCCCTCCTTCCACCTTTCCTTACAGAGTCACATGTTACGATCCACCACTGCATGTCATTTTTCCCTCGTCTTTCTTCTTTCTACTCAGTGATACATCGTACATTCCTTCGCAATGCCGCCGTGGTGCGGCCGTTTGACCGCGCAAATGCGCAAACCTCGTGGTATTGAGCAAACTGGCCAGGCGTCACTTCCCAACCCTCACTGCGCCCATCGCGACAGTAACACCAGACAATGGGTCATTCGCAGCCTGCAGACCGCATCCTACAACCTAAACCGATATCTCCGCTACCCACCTACTTGTCTATCAACTGTATTGATACACGGTTACTATCACGCCTACGAGCCTACACGGAGAAGACTAACACGTAGTTCACATCGAGCATTTGGCTCAGGTAGCTCCCTTTCCAGAACCCTAAGATAGCGTCGATGGGACCATCGCAATCTCGCGTCGGCGACCCCCGACCGGTTTCGAAGTCTTCGAAATCCAGCAAGAAGGATAGTTGGTTCGGAACGTTGCGCGAGACGCGTAAAGGCATCAAGACCTCGCTAGGCTACAACGGCTCGACCGTTCCCGACGAGATACCTCCCGATAACATCTTCACGCCTATACAGCAAGACAGCATTCTTCCGCAGATACCGATTGGCCGTCATCACCCAGTCCCTAGAACGGGCGTGGAGGATGACGACAAGACAACTCTGCACACGAACAAGTTCTACGCCAATGCGTTTCTGGGTCAGCAGAACCAGCCTATTTGGACACATCCCTACTCGATATGGTGGGGCAAGTCGGCATCGGATGTGGGAACGGTGCAAACATGGGGCATGTGCGTGAGCCATATTGAGGAGAAGGATTTGGTCTTCGAACCGGGACATCCTGCAAAGGGCTACATCAATCCGCTACACAAACAGCATCTCATCCTCAGTGCCGTCGAACTCGATGCTCGCACTACTCTTACCACGGACACTCATCTCCCTTTCTCCGTCAACATCAACCTCAACGCGCATTCCACACCCAAAGAACCTAAAATTATCTTCCCTGTTGTTCAAGGCATGAGCTTCGTCACAGCTGGCTATCGAGACGCAACGCCCATGATACAGACTGGCGGTCGCGGCTTCGTGGACGTGGTGGGACCGATCATCATGGGCCGCACAGTCAAGTATCGTCTGAAAGACAAGGACGGAGCGTGTTGGGCCATGTACATCAATCCAGTAGCGAGTCTCGACTACGACGCCACGAAGTTCGCCAGAATCAATGCCAACACGCTCGTCGGCCCGCCAGCCTTCAAAGGCACGATCCAAGTAGCGAAGAACCCACTCGGGGCAGAAGGAGAAGCCATGTATGACCGAGCCTGTGGAGCCTTCGTATGCGAAGCCAGACTCACCGCCGTAGTACCAGACGGCAAAGGCATCTACACGTTTCGATACACAAAGATCGGCCACTCACCCTTACTCATGTTCGCCCTACCGCACCACATCCAATCCCTCGACCCCGAGATGCGAAACCAAATAACCAACCTGCGCCTGCGCACCACAACCAAAGGCATAGCAACAGCCATCTGGGCCGAAAAGCTGACCTTCATCGAACCCGCCATCCCCCTAACCATGCACTTCGGTCCCTGGAACCCCACCATGAGCGCAAACGCCAAAGTGCGTTATCCGCCTGAAGTCCTCGCCTTCATCGCCGCCGTCGCAGAACGCGACCTCCGCCGCGCAATGACCGAACGCATACCACAAGACTCCATGTACTTCGCCGGCAAAGCTCTGTCCAAATTCGCAACCATCGTCTGGGTCATCAAAGACGTGTTGAACCACGAAGCCATCGCAAACGCCGGGTTGGACAAGTTAAAACAGGAATTCGCGCGGTATGTTGAAAACCAACAGCGTAATCCGCTTTACTACGACGACAGCTGGAAAGGCGTCGTCTCCGCCGCCGGCTTCACAGACCCGAATGCCGATTTCGGGAATACGTATTACAACGACCATCATTTCCACTACGCATACTTTGTTTACACGGCTGCTGTGATCGGGTATTTGGATCCCGAGTGGTTGAACCAGGGGGATAACAAGGCGTGGACGAATATGTTGGTGAAGGACTATGCGGAGAGTGATTACAACGGCCGGGACTACCCTTTCCAACGCGCGTTTGACTGGTGGCATGGACATAGTTGGGCGAAGGGGTTGTTTGAGAGTGCGGATGGGAAGGATATGGAGAGTACGGGGGAAGATGCGTTTTCTTGCTATGCGGTTAAGATGTGGGGGAGGGTTAGTGGGGATGCGAATATGGAGAAGAGGGGTGAGTGATATTCTACCATCTACCAGAATGACTGCGTGTTGGGTTAGGTTGGGATGTGAAGAGTGGACTAACAGAGAAATCAGGAAACCTCCAACTCGCCATCCAAGCCCGCTGCTTCAACTCGTACATGTACATCCGCTCCAACAATACAAACCACCCAAACCGCTACACGCAAAATAAAGTCGCGGGCATCCTGTTTGAGAATAAAATCGATCACGCGAGTACGTATGCCCGTCATAGTACCTTTTGCTGTTGCTGTAAGGCCCATCACCACATCCGCACATGTACACATACATACACATCAAGAACCCCCTTCGCCTCCCCGTCTAACGCACTGTGGACTAACACATTCGAATAGCGTACTTCGGTCTCGAAACCTCTCTCATTCACGGCATCCACATCGTGCCCGTTTCGCCGTGTACCTCGCTGATCCGGCCCCGGGGGTTCGTAAGAGAGGAATGGGATACGTTTTTCACGGAAGGGCGGGCGAATGTGGAGGGAGGGTGGCGCGGGATCTTATATGCGAATCTTGCGTTGATTGATCCGAGAGCGAGTTATAGCTTTTTCAGGGATGGGATTGATGGGTTTTGGGATGAGAGGTGGATTGATGGTGGGGCGAGTAGGACGTGGTATCTGGTTTGGGCGGCGGCTTGGGGGGAGTTTGCTAAGGCGGGACGGTGAGGAGGTTGTGATGTGATGGGGTTGGTGATCGAGTAGGAGGGTTGGGATGTTGTTTGAATAGCTTGTCCTGAGAATACGAGTATCCACGACGACAAGACCAATCGATGTTTTTTGACAGTTCATTTGATCCTACATATACAAATCCTCCCCTCCCTTCCTTCCACCTTACCAACATGAGGTCCCTGCCAAGCTCAGACCACATTCGATCGTCAAGCCACACTCCACTTTTCGGCAGCCGATCGTTCCGATGCACTGCCACAAGTAGATAAAACGCCAAGAACAGCTGCACCGCCCCACAGATACTCGTACAAGGAGACTAAGGAACCAAGGAAATGCAGTAGCAAATAGGAAAACAAAGAGGCCCTTCCGTTCTGTAGTCTTGTGCCAAGATATATTAGAGCAGAACATAGATTGTACAAAGGAAATGGGTTTCATCGCGCCGCTCAGCGAACGCGAATCGATTGCAGCTAGCACGCTTGCACGATCTAGGTGGCGGCGAAGAAGCGCTTGACGACGTCAACAGTGATGTCACCAGCTGCGTTGTCGGGGTAGATGTAGAACGCAAGCGCGATTATGGCGTAGATACCGATGCACATGGCGCCCTCGAGGTAGTTGCTCTTTCCATCCTGGATCAGGTAGTTGACGATCAAGACGGAGATGAAGAAGATCATCGTCTCGAAGCCCTGGAAGTGAAGAGTCATGGGCTGGCCCATGATCCAGCCGAGGATGACGAGGAAGGGGGTGACGAAGAGAGCGATCTGCATGGATGATCCGATGGCGACGTTGATAGCGAGGTCCATCTTGCCCTTGTATGCGACGATGACGGCGGTAACGTGCTCAGCGGCGTTTCCGACAATGGGGATCAAGACCAAACCGACGAATGTTTTGCTGATGTGTGCGGATTCCACAATCGAGTCGATACTATCAACGAGGAACTCGGCGCAAACAGCGACAAGCACGGTAACGATGACGAGCGCAACACCGGCAGCGACGGGAGACAAGATCTGGGCCTCTTCCTCTTCACCGCCACCCTCTTGGTTTTCGACATCAGCGAAGAGACTGTGGTGGGAGTAGAGCTGGAAGTAGAGGTATAGGATGTAGAGGATGAGCAGGATGATGGCAGTGCCGTGGGAGAGGACCAGGATGTTCTTGTCAGTCTCGAGGTTGTCCTTCTTGTTGTCACCGTGCATGACGGCGTAGAGGGTGGCGGGAATGATGAGCGAGGCGGATGCGACGGCCATGAGCGATGACATGGTAGATGCGACGGTCTCGTTGAATCGGCTCTCGTGTTGAGTCAGGCCCGCGGCGAGGAAGCAGCATCCGAGCACCTGGTCACAGTCAGCGCTGAAGTATGAGTAATGGAATAGCTTGACTCACAAGAAGGATGTTGGACAGAATACTGCCCAGCATGCTGGCTTGGACAATTCGGATTTCGCCCTGCTTGAGCGCAACGATAGAGACCTGTTGCGGTTAGTCAATGTTGCAGCGCAATGGATGCGCGCGGAAGCTTACAATGAGTTCGACGGCATTTCCAAATGTCGCATTCATCAAACCACCAAGGGTTTGGCCGAGCTTAGCGGATAGTTCCTCAGTCGCGAAACTCAGGAGTGCGGCAAGAGGGATAATAGCGATGAAGTTCAGGACGAAGACGACGGTAGGGTTCCAGTGCAATGCGCCGGCGATGATGCCGAGCGGCACGAAGACGAGGAAGACGTTGACGTAGTTGCTGGCGAGTGTCGCGTAGATCAAATGCAAGACATGCTTAGGCATAGTCTTGACGCGCGACTCGTCCTCATAATTCTGGGTGCGCCCGATGAGCGGGGTGTGCTCATCGTGGAGCCGGCCGTTGGCGGGCTGGGGCATGGCTTGCTGCTGGTGACGGTGATAACTCTGTGCTCGACCGTGACGGTGGAACGACTGCTTTATGTTTTCTGCCAAGGGCACAGGTTAGCGATATATAATTCGTGGGCCGAGTGCGCGATGGAAGTTGATGATGGTGCTGTGCTGCGCCCCGGTCGGTCGGTCGGCGGCGATGGAGGTTTGGTTAGGAAAGCCGAACAACGATGGTGTTGTAGGGTCGATCCAAATACCAAGGCTGCGCGAAGCGACTATGACAAGGCCGGCTAACTGCCGCGTGCGGGAAAATGAATCAAAAGGGCCATTGTTACTCACTCATTGCTGTTCGGGAGAAGAGTCAGATGCGCACGGCGCGGGAAAGCTAGCAGTATATGACTTGTCGAAGCCAAGCTCGCTGGTCTGGTAGGTAGCTGCCGAATGCACGCCCTGCGATTGGCGGAAGACAGGCTAGGAGAATTGGCAAATGCTTTGAGGTTGTGTCTTCGCAGCGAGGACCCGGCGAAAGTGGTTAGTTATCGAGAGGGGGAGGAGGGCAGTGCTGGCTTGCTGTTTTCCTGGCCGGTTGAGATGACGAGGTGGTTGGTGAGGTAGGCTGTGTAGACGCCAAGCGGGTACCAGCGCATGGTTTAGCTCGGGAGCTGCCAGGTTGCCCAGGGGAAGTGGAGCACATCGTCACATATTTCCCTCACTAATCGCCACGCTGTCTCAGAAACTGCAGAGACTTGATTCAGAATGTCTATATCGCATTCTCACCAGCCTCATGAGCTTTGAACATGTGTGCCTCGGTGCGCGCTTCAGCCGGAGCTGATGATGTCATCACCCCGTCGCGCTTGCCCGCCAAGTCCAATCTGAGTCTGGAGTGGCCCATGCACGTCAAAACAACCGCTTGCAGATCATTCAAACTCCACCACCGACCGTCTAATCAAAAAGTTCGTTTTGAGCGCTTCACTCCGGTACGTCGCGGAGTGCCAAGTGCGCAGACGAGATTCACTGATAACAGCACCGCCCGCCGTGTTCGTCGCTCAATGTGAACAGCCTCACCGCTTCTACGAGGTAAGCCCGAGTCTTACAGTTGATGATGTACAGCGTGGCAAGGGATACTTGGCGCGCCATATTCTCTCTACGAGGATACACCACGGAGGTACATGGCCCGAACTCCGCCTTCGTGGCTGACTGACATGTTGATCACCTCCTGTGGCGGAGTTGTGAGAAGAGTTCTTGGAGCGTTGGCAGGCGGACTTGCGACTTCGTCCTTGAATGGTTTTTTGGAGGTCTTCGTCGGCTCATCACGAATATTCTCGTAGCGTGCACTGCATTGCTTTGCGCGGGAACGCATCCGTTGTTTGCTTTGCTTCGATGCCCGGGCGTCTCCTAGCTGAAGGGTCTTCTTGCGAGGATATTTGGTTGTCTATTTGAAGCATGCTCACGCGACTTGAGTGGATAATTGAGATACCTATAGTGCATCTCTATCACTAATCATTGCAGAGACACGTACATACCCATGCCTGAACTCCTGGCTACTGCTCGAACGCGAACGTTTCCGCCTTCACAACTGTGGAATTTTGTCAAGTATAATGATAAGACTCCAATAGCTTGTTGTCGTTTCAAACATCTACGGTCGTTATGCTCCAATGTACTCCAGTACGCATGAGCAATTCCTTGCTTGCTACTCATGTTGCTACGATTTCAGCAGAGCCAATCAAAATGTCAATCACATCGGGTGTTTTCCCATCGAAAAGTACAAGCGAAAGACATGCACGGTATGATCCTATTGGTATCAATAGGAAGTTCGCATTCTTCTAAGACTCAGTCGAATCTAGACCAGTACCGGCCGTACAATAGCCACCTGATTTTGTACAGCAACCGGTGTTTCCGTCCAAGCGGCCCGTGTATGATTATTTCTTTATACCATGGATGTGTCGCGTTTCTCTTCAACTCTTGTTCGGATATCAGACGAGCTCTGTAAGACTGGAAAGCCGCGAGAGTAGCCCACAGCGTTACAGAAGAGGCACACATCGCGAGAGCTGTGATCACAAAGGCGCTAATGGAATGACCAGTACTGTTGATCTGCTGCACATTCTACGATGACTGTTAGTAAGCGTACATATCCGCAGCAAGCGAGGTGTTTGTACCATTCCATATACTGAAGCTGCAAGAGAGACCGGCAAGAAGATGAATGCTAAAGCCGTCACTTGAAGCGTTAGCGTTCGTACTAGCGTGTGTATAGATTTTGCCGTACATAGCATGACTCTTTTACTCTCACGGATACTCATTTTCGCCATACGAATGCTTTTACTTGTGCCTTGCAACGATAGATGATCTCTGAGCTGTGCCTCGTATTGTTCGAGGTCTTCCACTCGGAACTTGAAGCATTCCACCGTATCATCAAAAGCTGCTTGAACATATCGGTTACTGTAATCGAAGTGCTGCCGGAAGAAGCGTGTTATCCAACGCAGCGTAGTTCGTTGCT